CCTGCTTGGGCAGGGGGTTGGGCTGGGTGACCCACAGAGGTCCCTGCCAACCCCTGCTGTGCTGGGATTCTGTGACTCTGTGAGCTTTTCTAGTTTACACATATTTTCAGCAGACCAGACTTGCATTTTCCTCCTCTTTGCAGTCATCAATGGGAGGCAGAAAAGGTGCATCCCCCTATTGCCTGCGGTTGCTTGACTGTACGGCTAATGTAACGGCCCAAGCGTGCCCGTCAGGTATTTGGGCTTTCCCCTGATGAAGTTTCCATCTTAGATAGCTCTTTTACAATTTGGTTCCAAAAATACATTTTTCTCCCCACATCACTTAATAACAATTCAACTGACAAGAAGAATTAAACACTTTGGAAAAGTACAGCAGCCGTTGTGTTATTACAAGGACAACTTAAATATGAAGAAAAAAGACTGGTAACCCAGCAGAGTAGCCGCAGTGCAGCCCGTATTCATAATAATGTCTTTGGCTTCAGCTCCAGCGTAGAAGACAAGGCCTCCGCTCAGAATATGATTCTACATCTGACTTAGGCAAGAAGCGGGCCTGGTGTGACGCCAACCTTCCAGAACATTCTCCAGGCAGAGGTGAGCTCCATTATTTGCAGCCTCTACGAAAATCTGGAAATCTAAGTGAGGAACACGCATCGGTTTTTCCTAAGCTACTCAAAACCCAAAGACTTTAACCCCACTTTTTCATTTTCCTGCCTAAGTAAGACCAGGCCTCTGTTGATTGCATTACAGACCCGGGGGAGAACGTTCAGAAGACATTATTAATAGCAGATTAACTCAATTAACATCACGTATGCACCACAAGCGCACAGCTGGAAGACACATTTTACTTCTCCAGTTAGCAGACAAAAAAATCAGGCAGAAGATGTCTAGGACGCGTTCCCAACCGCGCTTCGGATGGGGAGTACGGCCGCGGAGTAACGGAAGGGTGGCTGAAGGAGCACGGTTAATCTATAAATCAGCCGGGAGCGAGCGATGGCGTGCGCGACAGGGAACGCCGGGGTGATGGAAAGGGGCCTCGTGGCAGAATTCTGCTGATTGGAGTTGATGGGCTTTGATGGGAGCTTGATTAGAAGGCACCAGGAGCGCGGCTGAAATATCTCAAATCCTCATCACCGGACTCCCTGCACGCCCACCTGTTTAAAAGCTTTCAAGCTGTACAAAAATCAGCACAGGTAATTGAACACCTCGGAAAATTCTTGCAAGCTGCACTTAAATCTTCTGTTAATTGGCTACAAAACAGCTGGTACCCTCCTTCAGTTTCTAAGAAGATGTCCCACTGATGAAAATGTTATCGAAATGCATTTTGAACTGTTTGGCTTTAAAAATGTCAACAATCGGTAGCTAAATGGCACGGTTGTCCTTACCTCCGCTTCTTTTTTGATGGTTTTGACTTGGCTGATCAGTTTGCAGTAGGCTTGGAACAGAAGCAGCAACTGGAAATGCAGCTTGTACAGCCTCCGACACAGCTCCAGCTCCTGCCAACGCAAACGACAGGGTCACCTTCCGGAAGCGCGAAGCACCCACTGTCCAGTACAAGGGACGATAAACGACAACGTCTCCAGTGGAGAATGCGCAAAATTAAGAGTAGTTATTTGGTTACTGAAGAAAATGCCAAAAAGATTGAGCAGCTAATGTAGCGGGAAGCTGATGGAAAGCAGCTGAAAGCTCACTCAGCTCGAGACTGACAGGTAGCCTCTCTCACTTGGGTTGAAAGTTGATTTTTTAGTAAGAAGCTACATTTCCAAGAAGGGGTGGGGCGGGACGCAGAGCCTTTCAAACGGCACTTTGAAACGTCACGTTCCAAGACAGAGTTTCACAGATCACTCGCTTCTCTTGTTGGCATTCTGCTGTTGGGGAATTTAAGATGTAGTACCCAAAAGAAGCAGCTGTGGTCTGCAAGTATGGAATCTGTCACAAGCATTAATATAAACACATCAGCGCAGCATATAACCTGGATTACAGCTGCCTGAGGGAGTACGAGGAGAATAATAATTCCATACTTGGAGGCAGGAATAATGTTTCCTTTACAAAAGGTAGCTCTGCTTCTATTTTAGAAAATACCACATGAGATATTCTTAGGGAAATGAAAAAGCAGCATTAACTTAGGTGCTGTCTCGCTTCCATTTTTGTGCCTCTAAAACACTACTCCAAGTGCAGACAGCGCTAACGCCGCTTCACACACAGACATAAGAGCTAACGGAATAACCTGCCGTAACGTTCCGCTGTCTGCAGGAGCCTACCAGCTACAAAGGGCCAACAGCTCGATGGGTTAGACGACGCCAAACTGAAGCACACAGCGTTCTCCTAACAGCCTACGACGAGACATCACTGGGGCACAAGCGGACAAGACAGATGGAGACCAGTTTGGTGACTGGAATGGTTAAGTAGTTGATAAATCAAGAACCGTCACTTACTGCTAGAATTTCCATTTGCTAAGCAAGATGATGAGCAGGTCACAAAAATACAAAGGAAGAAAGAAAGATCAAGAATTAGTGCAGGAAATAATTTTCATTAGGTAAAAGGTGTCACAGGTAAAATGGAGGAAGAAATAAAAGCGACATGCTCCAAATCTACCCTAAATGGAAAAAAAATGAACAGGCTGAATTTGAAGTGACATTACTTGTGGCTGTAAGTACGGATAGAGAGCACCGGCTTCGTTGTCCCACCACACGAGTACCACACTTCACTTACAACCCTCTCTGGTCTCCACACACTGTGTAGTCCCTTACAGGCAGGCACGTTTAAGGAAATCAAACCCAAGGACACTTAGGTCTGAACATCTGTACAGTGCTTCTTACTTGTTCAGTACCGCTATCATTGAAGCAAAAACAATGCCTTTTAAAATCTGAGATGTAAGGTTAGCTTGGGTTCTGAATCAGGTTGGAAAATTCTCGGTTTGGCTAAACTCAGTTCTCAACGGCTCGCTGGGAGATTTCTGTAATTTAATGGCACTTGGCTTTTACAAGCTACTTCAGAAAAACGTTTGGGAAAGAGGGGCAGGGAGAGAAACCGTCAGAAAATATATTTGTATATTAGAAAGACTAGGGATGGGAACTCAGCTGTGTGCTCCCCGCGGCGCCGGGCGTGCTGCCAGCCCCTAAGCACGCAGCACAGCCGCAGCCACCGCAGGAGGAGGCGGCTGATGCCCGACCCCACCGGGCAGACGCAGCTGAGCTGTAGTAAGCACAGAGTTACAGACGATGCGTGGAGGTTACACGCTGTGTGCTTTCGTACTCCGTGCTGTCATGTACACAGCGTAATTATTGTATCAGCAAAAAGCCACCGGGACACAGAGCGCTGCGAAGGGGCGAGACCTTGCACTGCCAAAGTCGACGGGAATCCTGTGGCTCGCTCTAAAGAAGCACAGAGAATCAGACTTTGAGGAATGGCAGGGGGGGGATTTTTATTTTTTTTTTCATTAAGTTCCTGCATTGCTTAAGCCAGGTCTCATCATTACTGTAAGCCATAAATAACCACACCTTGGGAGCTATTCTAAAAATTCGAGAGGTTTTCCTTTAAAGATGGCTTTGTGTCTTTCACACACTTGCTCGCTTGAGAAATAATCTGATTTTTCTACCTGCCAGTCCTTCACAAAGAGTCTAGCCAGAATCCAGATGCTTTCTTTCAGCCTTGCATGTAAGTACTAACAGCAAAAATCCAATAATCAGATTTACTCGCAAGGCTGCTGGCAATGCATGAGCCAGAACATAACTGATCTCGCTGTTCCGCAGATATACTGACCACAGTGCTAAAAATCAGTAAGAAAATCTTATTTGCGTTAGCGAATGAAAAAATCTCTGTAGAATGAAGCAGCTCTGTTGTCCTGAGCACGACAACCCTTCCACATTTTTAGCTTTAATTGGTTGGCTGGACGGACTCCTCAGCCCCACGCCCCACTGAGGAGGGCTTTTGACACAGTGATCTTGCCCTTGGTCACTTTTCAGTCTCCTCCAAGTCCCCACGAGCTTCTGTGAATAAATTCAGCACTTCTGCGAACTGCGTCTGTTTACGCAGCAGGCTCACAGGACTCCTCTTCCTCAGTGGATACCACACATTAAAATGATTTTAACTGAACCTGCGAGTGCAAGGAGCACATGAAGAAAAACCGGCCAGCACGCCTCGCCGGCTGGGATTGAGAACCCAGCTCGAAGCAGGGCCCCACAACCGATCCACGTGAGTGGGCACACGACGCCTGCGCACAGGCTATCGTCTTCAAACCCTGCAGGAACAGGCAAAAATGTGCCACTTTGGTGCAATATAAAAATTGACAGTACTTATCACGTTTCACGAATCTAAAAATTCAGGTGCATTTTATGATTGGGTTAAAAAAAATATACATATATATATGAGAGCAAATAAAAACTGTATAAAAGAAGGAATAGTCCATGCACACAGTAGATGTTCCTGTTGCCAAACACTACATTTTCAGCAGCAGACGACCGAGTGCACCAATGAATAGTCCAAATAAAATGAATAAAATTCCTCCTTATTTCAGCTTAGATTTGGCATTTTTGTAAAAAGGTCCTCGTGTAAAGGTAAGTCCACCTGCTACCTGCAATTCTACTTTCTTACACCTTTGACTCAAGGTGGCAGATTCCTTCTACCTACTAATGGCAGTTTGTGCATTTGCATTTTTATCTACAGTGTCAATATTATGCAGCTATTGTTAAAAAAAAAAAGTCCTAATCTGCTTGGGGAAAAGCTATCGCTTACTATAGCAATTAGTAATATTACACATGGATGACTGCCATGCAAATACATACAAAATATTGAACTAATATTAACAGGTTATTTCACCTATTGCTGTTAGATGGTATTTCGACAGCAGTGTTCCATGAGATTTTGGCCATACTGCTACTTCACTCCCTGTTCCTTCCCACTCAAGTAACGGCCCCAGAAAGGTCGTATGTATTTATATAATACTAATTCTATGAAATCCAGCAGAGGTTTTTGGCTAGACAGTCTATCTGAGCACATAAGCAGAACGCTAATCTTTTTTCTTCTAGAAAGAGCTGCAGGGAAGCAGACTCGCTGGTGCACAGATGGTATCTGGTCTGCTTATCTACTGCCAGTTATTAAGTCTGGGACCCAAGATGGGTGGACAACTTTTATTAAAAAGAGCCCTTTTTATTAGACCACTACCTCATAAAAATCTGAGTTTCCAAAAGATAATATGATAACTGAAATGAAAAGCTTTTCGCACATTTTTAATCTCTCTGCAAATATTAGAATTTTTGCACAACAGATTGGAAGCTGTTTTATAATCTCGTATCCGGAGACTCGCCGATGACATACACCTACCTGGGCATCCGTGTTCGTGCCATGAATGCCATCATCGGTACCAAACGTTCTCTTGCAGTCTTCTAGCCACTGCGAAACGAATATCAACAAGATGAAACCTCTTCCAAACAGAGAGTAAAACTCAGACAGTGCTAAAACTGCGCAAGAGACTTCACCAACTCTGGCACATTCTGAGACGACGTCAGGAACCGTGATACGAGATCAGCTGTTCACCAGTGTTCTTTCCACTCATGATTTCCACTCAGAGGTATCACTTTGTAGTTTGTATTGTGTCCCTTCCGTTGAAATAATTCCCTGTAGGCTTCCTTACCCCAGCTGAGGACAGCAGACTTTCCCGTCAGTATTGATCTGTGATTGAATCTGGGTACGGTTACAGCGCGTGCGGGAGGGCGGAGGCAGAAAAATCCCCCTCATTAAAGATCATGTATTCTCTTTACTTACTGCACAAGGTTTACACCAACATCATTTCTCAGCATTTCTAATATGGCACTAATTCAAATTAGAGAGTAAGAGCAAGCCTGTTCCGTGCCTTGGGACTGCTTCAGAAGGAGAAGGAAACGCAGCTCTGGTGTAACTGGATGCGAGCGCAGGTCTACGGGATGGAACTGAACACAGAAATTCTCCAGTGGGAGTTTAGCATCGCCACCAGCTCGCACAAGGCAGGGAGATGGACTGTCCTCACCTTACACAACGCAGAGATGCAGATTCCACTCTCCTTCATGACTACTGTATTTAACCCCAGGGCTGTATTTAACCCCAGTTCCCATAGCAGACGAGACACTTGTTAATGGGAGAAGTGGGTAATCTCCTCTTCTGGCTTTAACCAACCATGCCAATTAAAAAATGTTAATATAAAGCATCTGCAGAATCGAATATGCTCTTAGTGGACAATACGATCCGCTCCTCTCATCGACACAGTGCCCAGCATATTTTTCTGTACGGTGCAAACAACTGCAAGCATGAGGTAATTTGGGTAATAGCGAAAAGGCAACGCGTCCCGTTGAGATGAAGGACAGATCATCTCCTGAAATGAGGAACAGGCTCTATGCATCCAAGGAAGAATAATTTAGCATACTGTGTGCTTGGTATCTGGAGTCTCACAGGAAATCTTGGTGACCTTTGTCTAACCTTTGTTTGATGCAAGAGAAAGAAAAATGTGATTTCCTACCCGCTCAATTCAATAAAGGTCACTTAGTGAATTAACTAGGCCTGTGTGCTTATCAAGAGAAGAAATGGAATTCTCTAAACACTGCGGTGTCAGTCTCAATTAGCGACATGGATACCAACGTAGACAGCAAATCTCATTTCTCTTCTCATCTGACAGCATCCGTCGGTAACAGTGGAATAGGTTTGCACTGGAACAAACAGCGTCAGCAGCCGGGAAGCCACTGTTTATTTTCATACACTGCCCTTTCAAGATCTTTTGTAAATCTTAAAAGCAGTCTGAATAAAGGGCGTGCCCAGAATGTTATGATGTACATATAACCTTAGCATTTTTTATTACATTTACCTGATTCATTATCTTTGCCCCTAACACACAGATGAAGCCAAAGCAGTTTCCTTGCCAGGAAATAGAACAGTGGCTCCAAACAGGTGACAAAATTAATTTGCCAAATTTTTTTTACCGCATACATGTTCAGCATGGTAGAAAGACCTGAATTTTCTCTTTGGCAACAGCAGTAGATTGTGCGACAAAAGAATCTTCTTTATGTGTTTGCTTTACAGCAATTTATGCCTTGCCCATAGGCCTCCTGCAAAGGTATAGGGTGAAATACAGTGATTTATGTTTTCCCCATAGACCTCCTACAGAGGTGTAGGGTGAAATACAGTGATTTATGTCTTGTCCATAGGCCTTCTACAAAGGTGTAGGGTGAAACACAGTGATTTATGTCTTGTCCATAGGCCTTCTACAAAGGTGTAGGGTGAAACACAGTGATTTATGTTTTCCCCCTATGCCTCCTACAAAGGTGTAGGGTGAAGAAAAAAAAGAGCGTCACTGAAAGCGTAATCCTGGGAAATCTGTGCTTGGGCTTGGCCCTAGCACAGGTTGGTTTGCCAGATTAACCCCGAGACAGACACCCCAAACCAGCCCCTGTGCTACAGGCACCTTTCTCTTCTCTCACTGCACAGGTAAGAGTTTCAAGCAGCTTCAGCCCAGGCCTCTCACTGGTTAAACTGGACTCATCTCGATGCCAGTACGACACACAGCACTGACAGGGACCCCGACCAGTGATGTCCGTTCACTTTCAACTACAAAGAAGTTAATGTACAGAATTTTCCAGTGGTTTATTCCAGAGGATATCGGACTAACATGCAAATTATATTCATTTAAATATCTGTTAATTTATATTTGTTTTACAATAGCCCAACCAGCTTAGCTTGATCATTTTCCTGCGTGTTTCTATGAAAAAAGCAATGCAATAAGCTCCTCCCGTGTTTTGCCTTAATGCTTTCAGGCTGAACAGGATACACAGCACAACTGCCTGCAACAGCAGAAATTCAGATTTGACTCGAGGAAGTCTCTTTCAATCCTTCCCCATACTCTACTTAATAGGACAGAGTAAGAAAACCAGCAAAACATATCTGAGAAGTAGCCTGGGGAGATTCTTAGTCTAGACGAGCTACGTAATACACACCAAAAAAACCTGAGGATCAACAGCTGAAGAAATGCTTTGAAAAAAGTTATAGAAAAATAAATCATCTGAGATAATTAGTCACTACTTCTAAATTGACATGCTAAATAAATTCTTAAATAATACGCTAAATTAGCTAAGTGACATGCTGTCAAGAGTCAGTAGTGATTGGTCAAAGCTATACATGTCTTCCTCCTCAGTACTGCTTCCTCCTACTTATAAATGCTGAAATAACAACAAAACCCCGGCAAAAGGCTCTCCGTCCCTCCTGTGACCCTTCTCCCTGCTCCAGTCACTCACAGATCCCGCGGCGGAAGACAGGCCGACCGCAGAAACCTGTCACCGCACACCCTTTTGACAGCCGCCCTGCGGATAGACCACCGCTGTCACTCCGACGTCACGACAGAGGCCATCACACCGACAGCCCTGTTCCTTCATCAAGGAAAATCAAACGCAAGCAAGCTCTGACTCATCCCGCGTGGATTTATGTCGATGCAATACGTGGCAGTGCAAAATGAGCTCAAAATTCACGGCATGAATTCAGCGATGCCATTTTAATTCATCATATTTTGACAAATCAACCCAACAACGCCCTTCGTCGTCGCTGTGATAAGCTGTAGCCTAAAAGAGGAGTTGATACACGGAGAATTCCTCCAGGTTTGGATAGCCACCCTTCTAGACAGACACGAGTTCCTCTCTGCCCTCCCTCAGATCTCCCAGTCTGACCCCGGGCCAAACCAGTTAGCCACTCTGTGCCTCGGCGCTGCTGCCCAAAACCAGGAATAAAATGCATTTTTTTCTCACCGGAGCGACCACATCATGATGCACCAGAGAGCGACGTTAAATATGACACTGAGTAAGGTGATCTTAGTGGCTGAGCACTTTGGTGCTGTTTAAGCCTAAATGGCAAAACGTAGCTCGTTGTGTTAGACCGCACAAGGTAGTTTACAAATTGTTCTTACCGCAGAGCAGGGCAAAAAAATGCGGCAACTCTTTTGCAGGAACGCTGGCTTGGACCCTAGAAACGACACTAACCCTACTGCGGGGCGTACTCCGGCATCGGTTTTACGGAAAACTTCAGATCCTTTCCGCAAAAATGTGCATGCCCGCTCTGTTCCAACAGACGAGCTGTCAGCAACCGAGGCAGAGGCCATCGCTTCCTCATCAACGCGGCTGGATCAAGGAACAAGGAGCCAAGAGGCCATCGCTTCCTCATCAACGTGGCTGGATCAAGGAACATGGAGCCAAGAGGCCATCGCTTCCTCATCAACATGGCTGGATCAGGAAACAAGGAGCCAAGAGGCCATCGCTTCCTCAGCAACGTGGCTGGATCAAGGAACATGGAGCCAAGAGGCCATCGCTTCCTAATCAATGTGGCTGGATCAAGGAACACGGAGCCAAGAGGCCATCGCTTCCTCATCAACG